ACCAAAATTTGATTCCAACGGAATGACCGATCCTAGCAAGCATTGTCACAGATTAATCTGTGGCATAATATCCGTGCGCAGTGTGCACTGTTGACCTCACAAACGACGACTAATGGAAAATGAATTCTTTGCTCTGCTAACGCTAACGCTGACCAACGACGGGTTGTCTACCTCTAATTTATATTGCAACGTTGCAATTTAATTGATATCTATGTCAAATAATTTAGAACACATACTGTATATTGGAGCTAACAATCTTACAAGAATATGTTTTCAAATGCAACCTTGATCATTTACATAATAACTATAATAATAAATATGCCATAAATAAATAAATATAAAAATAAATTGCATACAGAACCCAACGTCTTTTTGGCTGTTTTACTAAATGGGATGAAATGATCACAGCACAATAATTATTGTTCTTTATATGTCTTAAAGGAAGAATTTGTAAATAATAAAAAATATAAGAACTGTTTTGTAATTTACGGATTTTGATCAAAATTATGAAATGAATATTAACATTAGTATACATTTTGAATCAGATATTTAATAATTATAACGTACCTACCATTATAATTATAAATTATTGAGTTTAAATGATGAAGTAATAAATTTTGGCGTTGTGAATTATAATTGTAAGGGTGGTCGGGTGATAGTTTAAATTAGTGATTTCCATTGTACCATAGCCCTTTGAGTATCAGGAGCTATTCCAAAAGGCTTTCTGTTATTACTTGCAATGTATTCATTGATCTGGTAGTTCAATATTGTCTCGTATTTGTGCACGTTGGTACACAATTGCTAAAATAAAAGACAATAAATATTAGATACAATTTACTAGGATTTTTAGCACATTGCTGTGTCACCACTCAACCAGGACAAACACACACAACAACCATTCCCTCCAATATTTGCCAGAAACCGCAGCTAAGACTGGAGAGATAAACAGTGGTACACAAAAACACTCTAGAATACTGTGCTATCGTCTCGGTATTTTAAAACGCCACTATCCATCCTTACCCTAGCTAGGATCTAGGATCTAGGATCCTCTCAAGCCTAACATATAAGCATTGAGCCACTGAGGTGACATTTTAATATTATAACATTGCCGAACAAATATAGTAACGACGTACTAGCTGGAGGCTTGTTTATGAAATCAAAGATCCGTTGAGGTTTGCTTGACATCACACCACAGTCGATTTGTACAATAATTGCAAACAGCGAACCTCCCCACTCAACCAAATCTTGTATCTATTATACAGTGGCGGCTCGTGAAAATTTTATTTGGGGGGCTCTAGTTTCATAAAAAATATGAACAACATAATAAAGACTCACCTTCAGTGCCTCGGTAGGTTCATCCCAGTAGAATTACGATTTTTGATAACAAAAGAAAAAGTTTTATGTACATAATATGTACAAAAAACAGTTCACAATATAATAATCACTTAAAAATGCGAGAAAAAAATGTTATTACTTATACACAAAATCAAGTCTTCTGTCTTTCTGGGAAATAAAATGTTCTGTGACTTTTTCGTCAAAATTGCTTATGTCATTATTGCTAGGGCATTAAGGTGTTCTTCATTCATAGTGTTTCTTAAAAATGTCTTTATTCTTTTAAGAGTTGAACAACATCTTTCTGATTCAGCAGTAGACATCGGAGTTGTCACAATAATTTTTAGTAACTTGACCATTTCGCTAAACGTTTCATTTAAACCATTTTCAGACCGCCAAGAAAGCATGTTGAGGCCTTCTACAATATTTTTAAAATCCGTTCTTGAATAAATGACTTCCATTTCATCCTTAATTTGTCTTGTTGTAACATTGGATAAGATTCAACAACTGATTTTAAAGTCGACGTCGAAAATTTCTTTGAATAATTAAAAGAATTGTCTATATTCACTAAAGATGCGGCTTCTGAATGACCTCTATATGACAATCTTTCTTTCATATGAAAAATTATTGTATCACACACTTCCTTAGCAATTACGGAATTTCTATTTTCAGGATTAATTTGTCTGCGTTTATTCTCATTTTCAATTTTAGTAATTTCTCATCAGTTGAATTTCTAATAGATGATATAATTTTTTTCAAACTCTTCAATTTTTTTTCAATACTGTCTGTATTTCTGGCTTGAAATTGATTAAATAATGTGTCTACATGTGGAAAGATTTTGTCAAATAAATTAAGAAAAAATACAAAATGGGATCTTCGAGCGTTCCTCGTAACAGACGTTTACCATACGGATGTTATAATTCCAACGTGTAACGGCAACTCTAGGCAATTTTGAGCTTGAAAAAAAAAAACTAGCAATTGCGGATAAATTTGAGAAAAAAATTTCATTTTGGCATTCTGATTGGTTACTTTCTTCATAATTAAATTTAATTAATGCGCACAACAATGCACAAAATGAGCATGTTTATACTTAATTTTATTTCCACCGGAAGCACCACTCATAACATTTGTACCGTCCGTCGTTTGAGCAATTAGTTTAGATAGCAAGTTTGATATTAAGTTATCTAACTCATGTACTATGCACTGTGTTAAACCCTCAGCTGACTTATCGGTCACTTTTAGGAAACTCCAAAAGCTATCATAAATATTTCCATTGTGGTACTATCTTACTGCCATAACCATTTGATACTGGTTTGAAATCAGTTGTCTCATCACTCTGAATTGCTAATATTTCACTTTCATTAATTTGCTCTTTAATTTCTTGACTACATACTGCAAGCATACTTTTCAATATTTCACTTTGCACAGTTTTAGATGCACCTTTGAAAACTGTCGCCTTGTCTATAATTCTAGCAAAATCCCACGGTTTTGAGAATCATCTTTTTCATCGTGCCTTCTTAATGCTAGTTCCAACTTTCCACAAAACTTGATACAATTGTTAATTTTCTTTAAAATATACCTATTTTTAGTCACCTGCTCGTTGTGTTTTATAATATTTTGTTTATAAACTAAATCTAACCGAACTGCAATATTTATCGAGCCTAACAAAGCCAAATCCGTACTGCACTGTATATGATATGCAGAAATTTCGTGCTTTTTTATTTTCTGATTTAAACGTTTTAGATCTTTAAATCCTGTTACCGACCATATCTTGTCCATTCTAACAGAATCGGATTAAAATAGAATACATGGAAAACATAACAGGGCATTTACCTTTTCACATCCACATTTTTCGTAAATTTCCTTAGAAAACTGCCTCGTGAAAGTATGTGTCCCTACCTTGTCTGGTTGGTTAAGAGTCAATTCTAGTGTTGGTCGTCCGAGTTTCTTGATTTTTACTGCTAACGGCAGAGTTTTAAAATTCACTTTCAGAATATTATTTATACTATTCTTAGTCATTTTGGCATCAACCAATTTAAAATAACACAAAATAGTAAAACCACAAATAAATATCTAGAGCAAAACCATATAGACTACTACACTACACAAACATTAAAAGCGCACTGCGACTCTGATAACTTGAGCCTTCTTTCGCGTTGTAAAAACCGTTCTTCGCGATAGGCAATTTCCGCTCACGGTTCGTTTCTTCATATATTTCCTTATGCAAGGAATGGCTCATATGATCTAAACCTGAGCCCCCCATACTCCCTGGTTAGAGTTGTAAGTTGACGGTCAGTACATTATGCGGCTTTATTGTACACATAACCGTCGTAAATGGGTAATAATTATGTTAAAAAAGATAATAAATATAAAAAAACTGAAAAAAAGAATATATCATACATATAATTACTGTTACATATTCCTAATAGTAACTTGGGAGTCTCGAACCCCTGAGCCACTATGGAGCAGCCGCCACTGCTACTATATAATCATTAGATAATACACGTTCCCCAGTAAGTAACAATTATGTCAAATGTAGAGTCCATGTAGTGTACCACCTCTCACTTACGTCACCTCAAAAAAATGTTATTGCTATACGCTGTCTTCGTAAGTTCATTACTTTACTGTTACCAAATATTTATAAAACACAATCATAGCTGTTATAAATGTATTATAAGTTTTTCCTAAATTAGTCTAATAACAGATATGTACCTAGGTACATATCTGTACAGGTTTTATTTTTATTTACATATGAAGCCGTTTATATTTTATATACGACGACGTTTTAATCATGTGTACATAATATGAGTGTGGCTTCACTTTGAATATGATTACGAAATAACATGGAGTCTACATATATTCTACAGCATTGAAAATTGTAAACATGCACATTTGCCGGAAGAAGGGGTGAAATTATACTGACAGAGGCATTTTTACTGTAGACTTACATAAAATAGCTATATAAACAAACAGGCCCTCCGAAATATTAAAATTTTAATAACAATTTAATTAATGAAAATAAAATTTGTTGTTTCTTCACAATCGATCATCAACACTGCTAAAAATATCAAATTTTCAAATTAAAAGGTGATTTTAGAGAAGCATTTAAGGAACATTTTAAAGATCTACTTTTCGTTATGAAAGTATACGCCAAGAAGTACAGATCAGAAACATGGCGGCAGCAGACGTCAAAATATAGCTGTAGGCCAAGCATGGATTACAGATTTAGTTATTTCCTAACCTAAATACTTTTAGCGAGGTAGGGTTGGTAAAAAATAAATCAGAATTCAAAATTAAGAATTATTAATTATTGTTATGCCTGAGATCGATATAATTTAGTAATAACTTATAATGTTATGATCTTTGTTTAAATATAGGCATGTAGAAATATTTGGGTGTAAGAAAAAATGAATTGGCAACACTGTATTAATGTCATGTCATTAAAGGGAGAAGCAAAGGGTCCATGGTAGAAGGGAATAAGTTTGTTTTTAAATATCTCTGGTGTTCATATATCATAGAACTCATTAGTAGTGGTACTTGGAAAATTTTGTTGGATCCAGATTTTGCATGGGGTATAGGGATCGCAAATACACACAACCCACAATTTTACATCCTTCTCGAAAGGTGATGACACCACCAGGTCTGCTAATTCATTAGCCACTAATGTGGCTTCGTGGTCGAGTGGCAAAGACACTTGCCTATCACCCTGGAGTCCGGGGTTTGATCCCCAGTCGAGAAACTATGATTTTTTCTAAACTAATTAATCCTAGCATAATCGAGTCCATTGTCGCTAAATGTGTAGCCCTCTCCCACACAAGGTACCTTTAGATACAGAGGGTTGTATTACCTGTGGTGTTTCATTATACCTCATCGACTTGTTCCGAACCGCTTTTGAACCCTTGGTCGTCTGGATGGAAGATTTCGTAATACTAAAAATATCATTAAATTACCTGTGTAAGGGGACTGGTATTAGTTGTAAATATTCCAGCAAAATGTCTCCTTCTAGCAAGGTTTAACACTTCCTCCTCCATGAATTGCATAACAGCCACATTTTCCTTAGGTGAGAGAGATGAATGAGTAGCCATCATAAACGAATGCAGAACTGTACCCCTTCCAGGAGGCAGCTGCATATCTCTAAAAATGAAATACGTTAATTCGAGTCGTACCGTTTTTACTAAACATTCGTATTTTCAGTAATAATTGCTCCCTTACCTTATAGGACCCTCAATAGTTTCCAAAAATTCAAATACCACATTTAACTTTGATTGTATCTTTACTTTTGGTTCATCCCTAGCGTCGAAGTTTAGGGCAACGCCTACAATTTTTCCTATTTCCGATTTAACAATAAAACTTAGATTTTTCTCTAACACGGGTTCCCAGAGGGTGGTTACGAGTTCTTTGTAATCAGATTCGCAAAGGTAGCACAACATTTTCAATTTCTTCACACCTGCCTTTTGGTAAAAACTAGTCGTTACCATACTAAAATAATAGATAATATATTTGTATTATAAATGAAAGTTAAAAAATAAAACGAGATGAAATTTTATTATTATTAACTACTGTGTGGCATTTCAGGCGCAGTAAATTGGATGACCTGATCATATCGCCTACGTCTATGTAACTAAATATTGAAATAATTCTAAATTATTACTTGTGTTATATTGATGATTTTCCTAGTCTGACACATATTTTAGCAGAATAAATTTTTCTTATGGTATTAGTATAGACACAGTAATGTCAGGAATTTGTTATTAATGAGAGTTTCGTTACGAGATGAAAGATATATTATATATAGCCCTTTTTTGTAATCTTATAACGAGGGCCAATTTTCCAACAAACAATACCGTATGTGCCAAGAGATATAAACTAAGAACAGAACCGACAAGAAAGTAATATGTTTTACATAATATATTAAAGTTCTTTTAGCTTTTTGGGACATACTATCTACATAATAATACCATCTGTCCATATGAGAACATTTACGTAATTTTTATAAAAATTTATTGATCTATAGAATATTTTATTTAGTAAGTGTACTACACTGAGAATGCTCCAGAAAAATGGTTACTTAGCTGTAGGTACTTACTTTAAAACAGCTTCCTTGTATTCTGGTTTTAGTAAATAGGCTGAGAAACTAGGTGGACGAGTATTAATTTTAGTGTCGGATGTCATTCTTAGAAGTATTTCCCCTAAATCCATCGCAGAAATGAAGTCTCCAATATCTGGAATTTGTTATATTTTATTTTGGACATTTTGTTTCACGACATTAAACAGAAATTGAAAAACCTAACGATATAGCCGTATTTGCCGCTCTGAATTATTTTAAAATTCATCATATTATCTAAAAAACATGTATTAAAAAAAAGCCTAACAATGAATCGTGTGATGATATTGAAAGTTCATAATTGTTGGTGACTAACGGATTTGACTCAAGTTTCACCTGTTTTAAAGACAAATCCCTTCTATTACTTCACTTACTTATGTGGTATCCTTTTTCAGATAATTTAACAATGGTATATATAGTGTTGAGGGAATTTCCACCAATTTCATAGAAGTTAGCGTTGACGGTAATAGAAGATCTAGCCGCCCTATTTAAGACAGCTGCTACGGTTTCAAATAGCACTTTAGCAGCTTCCATTTGATTCATAGTAACCCCTTCGTAGCTAATTTCAACCTCTGGCTTTGCGTCATCTAAAAAATAAACAAGTAATTGGCTACAACTATTTATTGAATAATCTGTTGTATACGAGTGAAAATGTGAGCGCTGAATGTGACTTGAAATTTTGAAATGTACAGGATTATTCATGATAAATTACCCACCCCTTATCATCATTATTATTGCCTATAGAAAAAGAAGTTTCAAATAAAAGTTGTGTGGTAATGAATTTTGTTAAAATGCTATCAAAAGTACAGTAGCGTGAATATTTCATGGGATACAAAAAATAATATATTTTTTTAAATAGGATACCCAGGTAGCAAGAGCACGTGAAACTGACGTGAAAAAATGGTCACCGAGTGACGAGAAATGACTAGTTGAATGACGTAAATATGACGTGAAAATGTCCTCCTAATGTCTTGGACCGATGACGTTGATTACTTGACGTTAATTTCACGTCATTTGTTAGACGTTATTTTGACGTCTTTTTCAGGTTATATTTGGTACCCCCTCCTAGGTTTTCAGTAATACAGATAAAACTATTAGTATTTAGTTTATACATATATTGAAAAAATATATTACTATATAAAATTTATGTTTATATAACATACTACATATCCAAAAAAATAAATGTTTATTCTATCTTACTATCATATACTAAACTGTGAATAATAGGTATTGCTACAGAATTTTCGTTAAACGTCAAAACAACACATTTGCCAGATATTTCACTCATAGGCCAGAGTAAACACAGAACACAAAATGTCGTAAACGCCTGGGAATTCACAGTGGTTTGTGGTAAGATGGACTGCGCGCGCATAAGCTGTACCTACACCGATTGGTTAATATTAATCACGTTGTTCAGAACTTCGAACGTAGTTGCGCTCATGTCTGGTTATATAGCGGTACTTTTGAATTCGATGGGATACAGGGTACGAAATTTATATCACAAAAATTATATGATGAATGGCTGTGACGTGCAAATATTAAAAATGTTCCTAGAAGTAATAAAATATTTGTGCAAAAATTATATAGGCAAATGTTTTACTTTTTGCGCAAAAACTAACTAAAAACTATATTTTTGCATGCCTTTGATTATTCTCTTTGGAAACTGTTAAAAAAAATACAGGTAATCTTGTAGTAATGGCAATATGTCACTTGTGAAAATGCCGCTTCGTTTCATATTGTATATGACTTTGATATATAATAATAGCACCGAAAAAAGACGACAATATGACGTGTTATATAACGTGATATTCAGCACGTCATTTTAACGTCATTTATAAGACGTCATTATGTCGTCGATTTTTGGTTCACTGACGTCTTATGACCAGTAATCACCAGATTTTGACATCATTATGACGTACCCTTGCTACCTGGGATACCCTGTATATTATTAAATTTTTTTGAATGATCCTTTGTTCCTGATTTAAAAAATATATCATATGTTACTCCTACCATATACCGTTTTTGAGTTATTAAACGCCGAATATCTTATTTAAACTAGTTACGTAAATATGGAAAAGTTAACATTATTAAAGTGAGCTATGAAAACTATTATTTGATAAGTGACATTTCGTTAATGAAATAATCAAAATGGTTTACAGTGAGGAAGGAATAAACCAAATATTTTTACAAAAATTTATTTAGCAAATTTAAATATAAATAAATGATCTCATAAAAAATGTTCGATGGGTCCATCATTATTGTCAATGCATAATTGACAACGTCTTCTTATATTTATAATTGCACTGGAAATGGCTTCATTATTTACATTCAGATTGTTTATTTCAAGTCGATTCATGTCTTTAATGACTTGAATACTATTATTATTATTATTATTGACAATGTCATTTAAAAATTTTTTGTATCCCTGAAATCTGCAAGCTACTGTACTTTTGATAGCATTTTAACAAAATTCAGTCATAACCACGCAACTTTTATTTAAAACTTTTTTTCCTATAGGCAATAATAATAATGATAAGGGGTGGGTAATTTATAATGAATAACCCTGTACAGAAAAAAATCGCGGGCCAAGAGTAGGTCTCTGTGGTACTCCGGTACTCTCGAAATAAATTATTTCTTAGTGGTCATCTCTTGGACAATGGATATATGTTGATATCGATAACAAAATAATCTCTACGTCGATGTATCCGAGACGTTACGTCCTGTAGGTACGTTAAATTGGATTTGAGGACAGTATTTCAGATGGGTAACATTTTGATTTTTTTTTATCGAGTTCGACAAAAATAAATACAGTTACAACATTCTCAGTGATTGCAATAAATATTATGTTGGGGAGGCGTTGAAACCTCGTATTACAGACTAAATTAATGTAAAAAATTATTCAGAAGTATATTTGAAGTCAAATATTTATAAAGAGTTCGAGGAATGGATAAACATATTGACAAAATAGAAAAATAGAGAAGTCAAATTAAAGAATATGCGAAATTATTTCAAAATGCTCTGTAATATTTTATATAAGGTCATTAAAGAAAATTATTGTATAATATATATGCAATTCTATGTACTTATGAATATAATTAAACAAATTATAGTATACAGTGGGAATTTGGAATGTTTTGACTTGAAATGTGGCATAAAATCCAAAATAAGATATTTAGGAAATACCATGTAGATAATCGTAAATTTAATTCTGATGATTGTCGCACTTTACTTACCATTATTTTCATAATTCTTTAATAAAGCCTGTTTGTCTATCTTTCCGTTTACTAATAAAGGAATGTTTTCGACGAGTATCACTTGCGGAATCATGTACGATATTAATTTGTCTTTAAGTGTTGTCTCTATCTGATGCTCGCTCAGGAGACTATGGCCTGTAACAAATGCTAAGAGGGATTGATTTATTTCTCCGGGTTTGTAGCACAGAACAACGGCTTTATCCACCTAAAACAAAAATAATTTTACTTATCGCAAACCAGTGTAGTCCGACAGAAAACCAACGGGACGATATATTTGGTCACAGAGTTTCACATTGACGACTAAGCTAAACTGTTGGCGTTTGCACCAGGCACTTGGACTATTTATAATTACTTTGAATTTATATCTTGGCTATTCCCTTCGA